AAACTACTTTAAAGTTTATCTCAGCTTAGAATAAAATCTATTAATTGGAATGAAACTTATTAAAATATATGCATTGTTGCCGATAATGTCTATTCTTGTATCGAATTCTGACTAGTCAAGGAACTGAATTCTTTGAAAGTGTTTTGAGCAGCTGCTTGGTTGATGAAGACACTCTTGTAGAAAATTGTCAAGAGGCTTGAAAAAGTAGTAGTTGGTTGATGGTAGGTCTGGTGAATAAACTGGGTACGGTTGTTATAGAACATATAATCAAGGTATGGATCCTTTTTATTGCACAAGCAGCAAATTCTATAATTTTTGTACAGCTTGTATCAAGCCCATTTGTCAAGGTTTTTATTTATTTGGCACAAATGTTTAACAACTGTTGAATGGTCAACATTTACTTATTCTGCAACCTTTCTAGTTGTTTTGCTTGAATTTGCTGCCAAGAGCTTAAAATAAAAATAAACAGTAGAAACAAAACCATTAGCATAAAAGAGTAGTGAAGTTTGACCTTTTAAAATTATTGGAACAGATTTTCAAAACCAGCATCAAAGTTTAAAATAATAATTTTTTTTTCCAGGAACAGTAATAGTAATCTTACCATTGTATTTTTAATGCTAAAAAAACAAAAAAAAAACAAAGAACACAATTTTAATGCACTTAAAATGTTTAACATGAGGTTGAGTATTATTGCAGATGCTTTATGTCTATAAAGCACTAAAATTCTTACAAGGTGAGTTTTGCAGCAGTATTGAATTAAAATGTGTGGTAAATACCTATTTTACTCTTTGGTAGTTAAATATGTCATCTGGTTGCTGTTATTGCACTTTAATATTCCAAATTCAAAATCTGTTTTAGCTTGAATGTAGTGAGGAACTTGGTGACTTGGTTAAAGCTGCTGATCCTACACTGGCATTATCTGTCTATTTGCGAGCAAATGTTCCAAACAAGGTTTGTAATTTAATTTTATCCTTTTATAATCACAAATTGAGAATTTTAGAAAACTAGATACTTGGGGAAAAAATATTTTCATGAGAAAAATTTACATCATTATTGATATTATGGCTATCATATATTCTGTTGTATCATTGATTGTTTTTATTCAGTATTACCTCCAGTCAATTAATGTAAACAGTTATATTGCAAGATTTACCACTAGCATTGCAAAACAAAATTAAGATGCATTTTGCTTATCTAGCCATTTTAAAAGCATTGTAAATTTTAATTGCAGATAATTTTTTTACATTTCTTTAAAATACTTAGTGGCTTTTAACAATGATCACTATTTTCTTAGATTACCTTAAGTTTTCAGCAATTGAATACTGACTTAGCATATGTACAGAAGATTTTATTTAAAAGCTTTTAGCAGAAAGTGTTAAGTTTAAAACCTGGTATCTTTAGGAAAAACTTTGCAATAGTGACTTTATTGCTATCTATAAAAGAACTAAACCTATAAAACTTCATTAGAAATAAATATTTTATGATACTTTATTGATTTGTAAAAATTTAGTCAGCATTCATATTTACTACTTAAATTTTTGCTGATTGCAGGTGATCCAATGCTTTGCAGAAACTGGTCAGTTTCAAAAAATTGTTTTGTATGCTAAAAAAGTTGGCTATACACCTGACTACATATTTTTGCTCAGGAACATTATGCGTATAAATCCCGAGCAAGGGCTTCAGTTCTCGCAGATGTTGGTTCAGGATGATGAGCCTTTGGCTGACCTCAACCAGGTAAAATGTTTTTCTAACAATATCAGTTGGAAGACAAAATAATTACTGGTTCCTCAGTACTTTTTTTCTGTTTCATTGGAAATCATTCTTGAGTTGGGAGAATTGGTCATGAAGCTCAGTTACTTGTTCTTTTATTTTTATAGATAGTTGATGTCTTCATGGAATTCAACCTCATCCAGCAATGTACATCTTTCCTCTTGGATGCGTTGAAGAATAATCGACCATCAGAAGGGCCACTACAAACTCGCCTCCTTGAGATGAACTTAATGTCAGCTCCACAGGTAAGCAAACTACACTTTTAGTATGCATCCCCCACCATACCGACAACTGATAAAATTGCTTTATGTACAACATTATTTTTTAATATGAATATAATTCAATTTTATTCTTAGAAGCTATTTCTGTCTTTTAAATTTTCAATAATTAATAGTGAATTATTTATTACTATTTGAATGCATTTTTTTCTCAATAGGTAGCTGATGCAATTCTTGGAAATCAAATGTTCACCCATTATGATCGTGCTCATGTGGCACAATTGTGTGAGAAGGCAGGGCTTTTACAGAGGGTAAGTATTTTAAATTCTCCACCCATAATCTAAAATTGTAGGTAAAAACTTTGCTTTCAAGTTTCTTTCAACTATCGTTTTTTCTTATGCAAGCCAATGTTTGCACAATAAAATTGATGTTGGTAGTTATTTTTTTTATTATTGTGATTATTATTATTATTATTATTCAGCTAGAATACAATGTCTTAGACAGTTTTCTTAGCATGAGTCATCATTAAGAGTAAATGTTGATCAAAATCTGAGATGAGTCATTTTGACCCATATTGTAATGTTATCATTAATTTTGACTGCTGTAGTCATGTCTAAGGTTGCTTAATTTGTATAATAGTGTGTATCTTCCCCCTCTTTTAAAGAGTTCTAGAATTAGGCATTAGGTTCTGCTAGATAAGCAAAGTCAATATAAATTTTAACATTGTGGTTGCCTATTCTTTGAAAATCAGATGCATTATGAAGAATTCTTGCAAATAATTTTATGTGTAATCCTTTAGTTTATTATGTTTTAAGAAAATTAGCATATTGGAGGGGAGTCATGTTGATTTAAAAAAAAAAAAAAAAAAATCGGCCTGAACAATTTTGGAATTTTTGTGATCTAATCAATTTAGATTGTTTTATATTTTTTTTTAAACATACAAAAATTGGGAAGAATTCTATACATATACCGAAACTTGTGTTAAATACTACCGAAAATAAATGTTACTCCTTTTAAACTTATTTTTCATTTTAATTTTATAATTATTGGATGGACTTTTATTTTGCAGGCTTTGGAGCATTATACTGACCTTTACGATATCAAGCGAGCTGTTGTCCATACCCACCTGCTAAACCCTGAAGTAGGTAGCATAGAAACTCTCATGGACATAATTTACTTTAAATTCAAATTAATCAAATTAATTTTTATTTATGAATGGGTGTTTCGAATATTTTAAATGAAATTTTATATTTAGCTCTTTCACTTAGAAAATAAGATTCTTTTAAATGAAATGGTTTCTATAAACCATTTATCAGATATTTCTTTATCAGATATTTTTTGAGCTTTTAAATTTCTTCTATTTTATAGTGGCTTGTGACTTATTTTGGCTCATTGTCTGTGGAGGATTCTCTTGAATGTCTAAAGGCCATGCTTCAAGCTAATATCCGACAGAACCTGCAAGTGTGTGTGCAGATTGCATCCAAATATCATGAACAACTCAGCACTAATGCTCTCACAGACATCTTTGAATCTTTCAAAAGCTATGAAGGTAATCAAATATTAACTTAATTTTTATGACTGAACTAAATTAGAACAGATAATTCATTTTTACTCATATTATTTCAGGTCTTTTTTATTTCCTGGGATCTATTGTAAACTTCAGTCAAGATGCTGATGTTCACTTCAAGTATATCCAGGCTGCCTGCAAGACAGGCCAGATCAAAGAGGTGGAAAGGATTTGTCGTGAAAGCAATTGCTATGACCCAGAAAGAGTAAAAAATTTCTTGAAGGTTAGTATTCAGTAACTTTGTCCATAATTTTTTTCTTATTTTTTTTATATTCAAAACTAAGATTTTATGATGCATATCTGAAAAAAGATTGACAAACTTAAGATATTTTAAAAAAATTTTCTATAGATTTTTCTTTTTAAGCACTTGATACTTTTTAAACGAGACTTTAATGATGTAAAAGATCCTTTTAACATATTGCTATTGTAGCTAAAAGCTTTGATATATGCAAAATAGTAAAATAGGTTTATACCCTGTTGCTAAAGCATTTTTGAGAATTTCATTGAAGTAAATTTTATATAAAATGGTTTTTAAATTTTTGGAGCTTCATTAAATTTATTTTTCTTTTCAGGAGGCCAAGTTGACTGATCAGTTACCATTGATCATTGTCTGCGATAGGTTTGATTTTGTACATGATTTGGTTCTTTACTTATACAGAAATAACCTCCAGAAATATATTGAAATATATGTGCAAAAGGTATGTTGAATTTGAAATTGTGCTTAATAAATGCTTTTAAAATAACATTTTTAATCTTTTTAAAATTTTATAAGTTGAAAACTTTAATAGGTATATTCTTCATATAAGTATGTTATAACCCAATTTTTAAATAACAATTTGCTAATCCAAGGACAAAACATGTTTTCACAATACCATTCTTTTCCTCCTATTTTAATGAAGAAGTGTCAAATTTAAATGATGATTATTTCTCATTTGAATACAATATTTACAGAAATCAATGTAGATTTCTATTTGGAAGCTATTATTTAAAACAAAACAATATGAACAATATCAATTTTAAAAAAAGTTATTAGAAAAAGTACAGATATAGCATTTGAATTTTGCTAAACTGGTAAAATTTCTGATAAAATTTGAAATTGCTTCAGTAAACAAAAAGTTAAAAATAAATTGAAAGTAACAACAGATGGCATATAGAATTGGAAAGGTTGTCTAAATGCCTAAAGATTCATGCTTTGCTAAATATTTCTCTGGCCAGTGATTAAAACATCTATGAAGAGGTGTGGTATATTTAACTCTTTTTGCAAGGAATTTTTTTTTTTTTAAGTTAATGTACATGTAACAAAATAATGAAATATGGAATTTTTGCAGCATCTTGTGAGAAATGTATTTTTAATCTATCAAAATAGACTGTTGAATAGATTTGTGGGTAAGAAATTATTAGTCAATGCAAAAGTGTTCTCACATGAAAAAATGAATTTGACACTGATCTTTGTGATTAGGAAAACAAATCCAATCTGGCCAATTGTAAGTCATGTCCATCTGATGGTTTGGTTGATTTAACTACAAAATTTTAATGTTATATGTAATTGGAGTTTGAATTGTGAATACCTTATTATTGGTCAAATATGTATTTTTTTTTTTTTTATTATATTCCATTGCCCCAAAAAATATTTAATAACATTTTCTATGTCTAGGTGAACCCTGGCCGTTTGCCTGTAGTTGTTGGAGGGCTTTTGGATGTGGACTGTTCTGAAGATGTAATCAAACAGCTTATCATGGTTGTAAAGGGCCAATTCTCTACAGATGAGCTTGTTGAAGAGGTTGAAAAGAGAAACAGGTGTTTTTTTTGTTTTTTTTTTTTTTATGCACAATTACTCAATAGTAAAATTTGGTATCTTTAAAATAGTGGAAGTCTGTTCAAGACTTAGGTCCTTAAAATGATGTTTAAAATATCAAATCTTATTGCTTAAACCTTTCAAAGAAAAAATATTTCAAATAAGTCTATATGAAAGCTGTGGGGTTCAATTTTTAAATGGTTTGAGTTTCAAATGACCCATTCATATAAAGTTATTTGCTTAGGTGCAACATTATTCAAGGGATACGTGATATAAAAGTAATTTTCTCTGGAAACTTATTGCAAATAGTTGTCTGACTTCCTCTTTCATACAAATTTTAGGCATAATTTATTTTTTAAATTTTTTTTCTTATGGATGTACTATAACTTCATAATTAAATAGTGGGTTGTCTGGTAAGTTCATGACTATTTTTAGCCATTCATGTTCCAACACATTAAAACACATCAAATTTATTGACATATGATATGCTTACATTTCTGATTAGTGCACACTTCAAACTTTCTCTTGAGAAAAAAAGTATAAAATTTAAGGTGCTTTTTTTTTTTTTTTTTTTTTTTTTTCTTTGCAAGCTACAAAACTGTACAGGCGTGGTTTGCTAAGTTTGGGCTTGGTGATTCTAGCCATATTGATGAACGCTCCAGCAGGCACCCCACTACAGACTATGACCAAATCAAGACATTGATTGAGAATAGCCTGCATTACACAATGTGGGAATTGGCAGAAACACTAAATTTGTCAAAATACACCATCCATGAGCACTTAGTAAAGTTTTGGTACTCAAATTGCTACCAAGATTTGAGTGAAAAGAATCTTTTGGATCACATTTCCTCTGATTTGCTGTATAAACGCAATGAAGATGCACCCCTTTTGAAGCAAATTGTGATGGGTGATGAAAAATGGATCATTTATAACAATGTTCAGCAAAAAAGATCCTGAAGTATTGACATGAGCAAATTTTAGCCACTTCAAAATCAGGTCTTCATTCTAAGAAAGTGCTGTGCATCTGCTGGGATTGGAAAGGAATCCTGTACTATAAGCTTCTGCCAAGTAACCAGTCAGTTGATTCTAAAAAGTACTGGTTGCAACTGGACGAATTAAAGGCAGCAATGCCTAGAATTGGCAAACAGGAAAGGTGTTGTTTTTCATCAGGGTAATGCCAGACATTTCTCAAGCAATCCATGAATTGCTGCAGTTTGGCTGAGATGTTACTCCACTTGCCATATTCACCAAACATTGCTCCTTCAGCTTTTCATTTATTCAGGTCCTTGCAAAATTAATATTTTTTATTTATTCAGGTCCTTGTAAAAATTTTAATTCTTTAGATGACATAAAAAAAACCTGCCTTCATGAGTTCTTTGCCAAAAATCTACCAAAATTTTGGGAAGGTAGAATCTTTAAGTTTAAGGAAAAATGGAGAAAGGTTGTGCAACAAAATGGTCCATATTTAGTTGAATAAATATTTAATGGCATAATTTTGTTTAGTGTTTTAATTCCCCTTAAAAATTGGCATGTAATTTCTGGACAACCCAATACTTCAATTAACTTTGAGTAGAGACTGTTTACTCTTATACAAATTCTTTCTCTTTCTGACATTTAATTTTTCTTTGAGTAAACAATTCATAAAATAAATTACTTGATTGAAATGTTTTAAAATTTCTAGAATTCTTATTTTCATCTTTTTTTTTCACCCCTCCATCTATATACAGGTTAAAGCTTCTCTTGCCTTGGTTAGAGATGCGTGTTCATGAGGGTGTGACTGAATCTGCTACACATAATGCCTTAGCCAAAATTTACATTGACAGTAATAACAACCCTGAAAGATACTTGCGGTAAGTTTTGAATACTACATTCTCCCCCACCCACTCCAAGTGATCTTATTAAAATTTTATTTTGTCAGTATTCAGGTCAAGATAATGAATTTGAGTACAATACTCCATGAAGTAAATATTGTATTTATCACTCAGGATAACAGTAATACAACCAACTTAGTTACAACTACTGGAATTCAGTTTGTATCAAAACTGTCTCTGTAATAGCATGGTTACTGTTTTCTGGAAAACTTTCCAGAAGAGGTTAGACAAAGTAAAGATAATATAAGGAGCAAATATTTTGTTCTTGATCTATTTGACATGCCTGACACAGAAAAATAAGATTGATTTGTTGTATTATTCCAGCCATTCAACTCAATTTTGTAAAAAAAAAAAAAAAAAAAAAAATATTGCTGTCAAAAAAAGCAAAGATCTAACATTGAGTGGATAATATTACTGATTTCTGACAGTGTTGCTTCCGATAAGGTAATGGTATATGGGGCTAAGCCACAAATGCCTTTGCCACACACCTATAAAAATGGTGGTGAGTATCTTAAAAAGTTAAAGGGAAAACCGGTTAGAATATTAACTATAGTTAAAGTGACTTTTTTTTTTTTTTTAATTTTCTTCATTTTATGTAATATTTTTTCTTTTGGTATCTTGTAAATGGGTTAGCCCATTTTAAAATTTCAGTTTTTACTCTTGTAACTTGTTTTTGATTAACTTGTAATGACGGTCAAGTGGGAAGGGGATTAATGTGAGAAGTGTTTTGTCCTTCAAAGGAACTTCCTCAATGATTTCATTGATGGTTGTGTATGTTTGTGTATTAATACATACATATTCCTCAATGTGCATTTGATTAGTGCACTAAAAATTTTTATATACCAAAATTCGATTAGTGTACTGAAGCATTCTTCAGTTTAATCCTAGCAATTAAAAAATTTTTTTTTTTTTTTAATTTTTTCTTTTTTTTTTTTTTTTTTTTTTTTTTAATTTTTTTTTTTTTTTTTTTTTTTTTTTTTTTTTTTTTTTTTTTTTTTTTTTTTTTTTTTTTTTTTTTTTTTTTTTTTTTTTTTTTTTTTTTTTTTTTTTTTTTTTTTTTTTTTTTTTTTTTTTTTTTTTTTTTTTTTTTTTTTTTTTTTTTTTTTTTTTTTTTTTTTTTTTTTTTTTTTTTTTTTTTTTTTTACTTTTTTTTTTTTTTTCTTTTTTTTTTTTTTACTTTTTTTTTTTTTTTTCTTTTTTTTTTTTTTTTTTTTTTTTTTTTTTTTTACTTTTTTTTCTTTTTTTTCTTTTTTTTTTTTTTTTACTTTTTTTTCTTTTTTTTCTTTTTTTTCTTTTTTTTTTTTTTTTTTACTTTTTTTTTTACTTTTCTCTTCTCTTTTCTCTTCTTTTCTCTTTTTTGCAAATTAGAGCCGCACTAATCGATTATGAGGGGAGGATACAAGTCACTGGTCGCAAGGGTACTTAGCTTTAGGCTCTCTTCAGTTGTCATTAATTTGGCAGGTAGCATTATGTGCCAAGTTTTATCTTTTTATTTTCTGATTTTTGGAAACAACTTTTTGCATTTAAATGAAATAAATCTAGGTATTGGGACAGTTTAAAAGTATTTTAGGGCTATAAATTCAAAGTGTTAAGTAAAAACTAATGTTATTTTTTGTGTGAATAGAAGTTTGAGATCATTTTTGTTGAATTTTTGATATTATTACAATTTAATATGTTAAAGAAAGGTAATGTATTTATTTCATAAGTAAATTTGATAGTATGTTTTAGTTTAATGTCAGTCATACTTGTCTTTGTACTTGAATTTAACAATAGTATTTTAAACTTAATTTTTTTTTTTTTTTTAAATTAATTTTGTATACTGTTTTAATTTTTAGTGAAAATCAATATTATGACAGCCGTATTGTTGGAAAATACTGTGAAAAGAGAGATCCCCACTTGGCTTGCGTTGCCTATGAGCGAGGATTGTGTGATCAGGAACTTATCAATGTATGCTTCTGTTTATTTATATTTTAACTTTGTAATTTTTTCTTTTTTTTATTTTTCATATAGTTCATGACTTTGTTTTTTGACATTAATGCATATGAAAGTAAAGTTGGTCTGCATGCTCACAAATATTTGAGATTTTTCTAAGATATATTTTATGATAACACAAAAGGAAAATATCTGCAAGATACAAGATATTTATGAAAAATTATATTAAATTTAGATTCATGAGTTTCAGGAATTTAAAGATGGATATAGTTATTTTATATAAGTAGTTTTACAAGCAAAATTTTTGGTTTATTTATCTACAAATTTACTGAAATAGTATTTCAATTTTTTAAATATATAAGAAATATTTATGGATTTTTCTTTGATATATTTTAACTGCACTTTCAATAATTGATGATAAACATTGTGTATTTTTCAGGTTTGCAATGAAAACTCACTGTTCAAAAGTGAGTCTCGTTATTTAGTTCGGAGAAGAGATCCAGACTTGTGGGCTGTTGTACTTAAAGAAGAAAATGAATACAGAAGACCACTTATTGACCAGGTTTGGATGGAAAAGTTTATTTTAATACTTTTAAAAGGTTCTCAGTCGACTGTAGCACATAAAACAGAAATTCATAAAATGCATTTTTTTATAGTAAATATCAATTATTGCTTTTACTCCCCAACATCCGAATGATATCTACCAAACTTGTTGCCTCAATGTTAAATTTGACAAATATTTAGTATTTGTTTGCTACATTTATTTTTAATACTTTATTTCTATACAAACATTCATATTCCTTAGGTCAAGTTGCATTAAGTAAAATATTTTTCAATTTTGAGTATTCTAATTTCTAAAGTAGCTCTTAAGAAAAATGCAAAATGAAATATTTTGAAAAGAAAATGTGAAGCAGTTTCATTTTAAGTTTTAAATTGTAAAATAATTTAAAAGGGACTTCCAAAAATACTGAGTATTTAAATACTTCAAAATATAACTTTTTTTTTGTATTTGTTTAATAAGTAATAGAAGTTATGTACTACTTTCATTTGATGGCAGAAATTTCAATCTTAATTCTAGGTGGTCCAGACTGCTCTCTCTGAAACTCAAGACCCTGAAGACATATCAGTAACAGTTAAGGCATTTATGACCGCTGACCTCCCCAACGAGTTGATAGAGCTGCTGGAGAAAATTGTTCTGGAAAACTCTGTTTTCAGTGATCACAGGTAAACTAAATAGTAATTACTAAGATATTTTGAAAAATCATTTTTCTTTGTTTCAAGTTTAATCTCATAATTTTACAGATTTAATTGCAACTAATCCTATTTTAAAACTAAGCTTTCATAAAATATTTTATTCATTTGCTAAAGATATATTGTTTGCTTTCTCTGAAATTTTAAAAAAAAAAAAAAAAATTAGCTAATTCTTGGATATTTTTTAATTATTTTGCCCCAAGCATGGCAATAAATGCCAAGATGCAAGGTATTTTGGAGAGTGAAAGCAATTCAAAGTAACAGTTGATTGATAGTGCATTTAAATTTCTGAAGATTGCAGGTGACAGGAAAGCAGGAAGCCAGAAGTGTTCCACAGGCCAAAAGTGCAGGAGAGAAAAAATAGAAATTAGTTACATATTAAAATTTCATCAGTGAAATTTTAAGACATAGCTGCTAATTTAGTACTGTGCTTAAATTGGTGAAATTGAGGTACCAAACAGGAAAGCTCATCAGAACAATTACCATGAAAATATTTATAGAAAAGCATGGGAATTACATTATGATGAGGGAGGTGGGGAGCAAGATGCTAAGTTAGGACTTGATAATATTACAAATTCAAGGATCACTAGATATAAAGCAGAAGCACCAGACTATATGTTGCAGTAATATTTGCATGAACAAATGGTAGATAGTGGGCTAATTGTCCTAACAGCAGGCCTAGCAATCAATTCCGTATAATTGTTCCATTTCACGTCTGAAAAATGTGAGACAGAGGGAGCAGCGAGTTGCTGGAAATTAGCATCAGTCAATGTTGATGAAAGGCGAAAAATGTTCTAAGATGTTTTAAAAGAGCATTGGGAAGTCCGGAGATGAAATAAGGTGCAAAATAAGTCCAAGGATAGAGCCTTAGGTAATACCTGCATTAATGCAAAAAGGTCTAGGAGATGGCTGTTCAAGACCATTTTCAGTGTTATTTGATAAGGAAGATGGAACAAATACAAAAAATTTGAACAGAAACACAATAACCTTTCAAATTATGAAGACCAACATGCCAAACCTTGTCAAGATGAAAGTCAATGTTTTCACAATAATAAAATTTATATTAACCAATCAATATTGGTAAAAGTTTTCAGGATTTATTTGAGAAATATGTCCTTATTAAAATATTGATAACTTGTTTTAAGAGTGCTAGGTTTTATTAAGTAAACCAGTTTAATTATAAATAAATCCAGAACATAAACTATTGGAATATATTTGAGTATACCTAAATAAACTTGTTAATATGGACTCCTTCATATTAATCCTTATTCTTTCAACCATTAATATTAACTTTATTATTGTTTTAACTTTGCAGTAGTTTGTTTCCAGAGATGTTTGCATGAATATTGTTTTCCATTCTCAGGTACATATTTTAATGATGGCAACAAGTTTTCTATTGGATTGGTAACTGGAGAGGCTAGGAGTTTTCCCATTAATTTTTTGAAACCTTTTTTGGCAGAATGAGCAATAGTCAGCTTTGCAAAATGTGTACGAGATCCTTGCATAAATATGCTCTAGATTTTTGGTGCTGCTGACCTGTACCTCTTAAAAAAAAAATTGTCTGATAACTTTTATTTTATGAATTTATTTTGGTGCCATCAATTTTGAAGCGGCATAATTGCACCACCTCATCTGTTGCCTTAAGTCATTGATTGACCATTTCTATGAGGTACCCACTCTCTGCCTCAACAACAATGTCTATTTGAACTTTACATTCTTCAATAAAAATTGAGAAATCAGTTTACATGTTAGATTTTCTTCAAACTGATAGATTTGCTTTCATATCTTCATGTTAATATCCTGCATGTTTTCTTTGTTTACATTTGCAAAATCAGATTTTTTTGTACTTATTTTGCAATTTCCATCATTATGTTCTCATCACTTGCTCACTTTACAATTTCCTGTTTCATTTTTGAGATAATTTTTTTATTTAACCATGCCAATTTTTATATATCTGAAAATGTGTGTGTGTATATATATATATATATAACTTATACTGTATCTTGTATATATTTATGTACAACCCTTGAGTTGTATAATAGAATCTTACACTGCCAAATAAGTTATTGTAACTATTTGCAATTAACAAATATAGGCTATAATTCATGGGATATATTTATCACATACACATAATTATATCCTGAAAATTTTGCGAGTTGTTTTGTGAAAATTTTATTGTATAAATTGTTAAAATTGCATAACATTGTGATTTCATTGACATTTATATATTTAATGTAAGAAATTGAGCTTGTGTATTTGACTAATTCAGTCTTGTAACTGATAATGAAGACACCCATTCTTGATACCTTTCATTTTTGCAAACTTACTATTGTAATGTCCCTTATTTAATGATTTTTGGCAGTTATTGGTCATGTACGAGAGTTGCATAATTTCATGGATCTGCTAAAGAAAATTCAAATGTATTTGATATGGTAAAACAGAACTAGGAACACTCGGAATTAAGTGCTATATAATTGATTATATAAATTGTTAAATAATAGAAAAATGTTTGTAATTATAAAGTTCATGAAAAAGATGAATTGTTATATTCATAAGTAAATGTGATTGATTTCTAGAAATCTACAAAACCTGCTGATCCTGACTGCTATAAAAGCTGATCGGAGTCGTGTAATGGAGTATATTAACCGTCTTGACAATTATGATGCTCCTGATATTGCCAACATTGCAATCACAAACGAACTGTTTGAAGAAGCTTTTGCAATCTTCAGAAAGTTCGAAGTAAACACTTCCGCTATACAGGCAAGTTGTACTTATTTTTATTTCTAAGAGGAATTTTTAATTTTTTATGATAAAAAATATTTTGAAAATTGTCATTTATGAATATAAATTTTCTATTTGCAGGTGTTGATTGATCATGTTGCAAACTTGGACAGAGCTTATGAATTTGCTGAGCGTTGTAATGACCCAGCTGTATGGACCCAGTTGGGGAGAGCGCAGCTCTCATCTGGTATGGTCAAAGAAGCCATTGATTCTTTCATTAAAGCCGATGACCCATCACAGTATATGGAAGTTGTTAATGTCGCAAGCAGCAACAGTAAGTTATGATTTTATAACACTGAAATAACTTTTTATAGAAAAATATATAGTGACTAAAGGAAGGCTAACAATTTTTCTCATTAAAATTGTGTATACTTTTCTTTTTATCAATTGTTGCATAATGCAACTTATCTGAAGCCAATATATATATATATATATATATATAACATTAAGTTAACTTTTTCTTGATCCACTCTTCCCCTCTTCCCAAGGCTGGAGGCAAGCAAGCAAAAATAACCTATGTGATGATGCTTTTCAAGACACTGATTAGGAAATAGCAAACAATATGATTTTTCACTTAATCAACAATGTCTTCCTTTGGTTTTGAGGAGGTGATCCTACTAACTTCTGCCCTCTCTCTCTCTGTGTCTGTGCACTCTAATCACTGGATCTAACTAATGCCTTTATCCACTTTGCCAGATGTCCTTGAGGACATCTGTATGAATTTCTGTGTATTCTAAACCTAATGTCTTCAGCAACCACTTTAGTTGTGTGTTTTTGTAGGAAAAAATGTTATACAATCAAAGTTAAACAATGTTGAGTCTGGTCAGTAGTAACTAGATGGATGACCACTTGGAATACCAGGTGCTGTATTCTTGGATATGTTGGTAGTGTAATAGATAATGGCTTGGAATTAGAAATTCATTTATTTTATAATTTAAAAAAAGAAAATTAATAAGTATGTTCTAAGGAATTAATAGATTTTTATTTTTAATCCAAAATTTTTATTACTTCAAACATTTTTAGTGGAGATATACTTAAAATAGACACCTCATTTTTAGTTAGTCTGTATTATCGGCCTGCACATTTGGGTGTATTTCTTATTACCTTTTGTGGCCAAAAAAAAAAAAGCCATCAAGTTCAACTTGAAGATTTAGAAGATTTCATTTCTCAGAAATTTTTATCTTTTTTTAAGGTAATTCCAACAGTCAGATATTTAGACTGTCAGAATTATCAAAAATCTGCCATGTATAAAAAGAATTAGCTGATTCATCAGTAATTTGGTTATCTGTTTAACCTTACATTATACATCAATTTTTAATTGGGCTGCCACTTTAGAATGACTTTGTTTATTCCATTTTAAAACCTTTAAAATATTCTCAAATGAACAGACTCCTAAAGAAATGAAGATTATTCACAGAACAAAACTAAATCGAAAAATTTTTCCTACAAAATTATGCTTAACTTTAAAAATTTAGAAAAAAAGTATATCTGAATGTTTTACACTCAAAAACTTTTTTTTTTATAATCTTGAGTAATTTAAAGTACTTTATAGATAATTATAAATAATGCTTTTAAATGTTTGGACTATAAAGTTGAAATATAAAAAAAGAAACTCATTTTGAAACTTAGCATAAAGCTTACACATTGCATGATTTGTTCAGGCCTTGTAAACAATTTTCTAATGTATTAAAAACTTGTGGACTCCATTTAATTTTTTTTTTTTTTTTTTTTTGTATTGAACAAAAAAATCTTATGCCTGTTAATTTTGTAATCATTAGAACCAGAAATATTAGCATTTAAAAAAATGTCATTACAGATAGCTGGGAAGACTTGGTGAAATTCCTGCAAATGGCTAGGAAAAAAGCCAGAGAAACATTTATTGAAACAGAATTAATATATGCATATGCCAAAACTAATAGGTTAGCAGATTTGGAAGAATTTGTATCTGGTCCAAACCATGCAAATATCACACAGGTATGTACTTTGTCTATTGACAATTTGTAAAAATATATTTGAATTCTACTTTAAATTGTCTTGAGTTTTAACTAAAGTAAATTTTCAAATTAAGTTTATTAATGCTAATAATGGTAGTAAATCTTATTTCAGGTTGCTGACCGTTGTTTTGAGGACAAGATGTATGAGGCTGCCAAACTCTTGTATAACAATGTGTCTAATTATGCTCGCCTAGCTATTACCTTGGTACATTTAGGAGAATACCAAGGTGCTGTTGACAGTGCTCGGAAGGCCAATAGTACAAAAACTTGGAAAGAAGTAAGTTTTTTTTTTTTTCTTCCATTTTTGACATATTTTCTTTTTTACCACAGGATGTATTTCTCTTTCTCTCTTCAACCTGCCTTCAAAAAAAAAAAAAAAAAACATAGAATGAGGTAACATCATAAAAAAAAATTTAAGATACTGTTATTATAAAAAGCTTAGTTTTATTTCTATTGTCTTGTACATGTAATAATTTTGAATGTAAATGAAAAAGAAATTTATGAAAACTATGTAATACTATGTTACTTCCATTTGCAATGATCTAATGTGTATTGTAATTAGTTTAATAAATCTTCAAGGTACCTTATCAAGAAGAGACAGTAGAATTTCATATTTGATTTTAATCTTGATTTAAACTAGATACCTCCAAAGATTTACTAAAGAACATACCATGAAAAAAGACACCTAACTGGATACCGTTTTATCATCAAAATGTTTGTTATTAAGAGGAAAAACGGGAGTATTTTTTATTTTAAACTTTTAATCCCTTCTAGCACCTTTGAAATTTTGGTTAAAACCTTTTTCTCTTTTTTTCAACAACTTAAATCATTAACTTGTTTTTGTCAAACAACACCATTTACTGAAAATCTGCTCTGAATCATAAAATAAAAAAAATGCAATAAAAGTATGACATTATTTTAGAAAAGCTTTTAATTGCTTTTATAAATAAGATATATTAAGAACATTATTGTATTAAGAATAAATTTTCATGATTAATAACAATTTTTACAGAGCCTCTTCTCATTTTTTAATAATAATAATTTATGAAGTTTTAAAGCTTAAAATTCTATATTAATTTCATCCTTTTTAGATATTAAATAAAAAATATATATTTACTAATCATAAATGAAAAAGCTTATTACAAATCATCAAAATCTAATATTTTTTGAAATTTTTATTTTTTTATATGTGCCAATTTTTGTAAATATGAATGACCACACACATCAGAAAATGAATGCTAAAACTATAATAAAATTAAAGCCAGAAAATATCTAAAATTCAATAAAACATTATATTATGGAGAATTTATTTAATTAAGATTACTGTAGGTACTTCCACTAATTTGCTGAAAGAGCATGCAATGATGAAAAAAGGCCCCAAAAGAAACAAGTTCTATTGTCAATATTTCTTATTAACAGGAAAGACCAAAGTATTTTTATCTAACTTTTTACTCTTTTCTAACATCATGTTCAAAAATGAAAAAATTTTTTAATGCATCAATGGTGTAACCGAGCTGGTTATGGAAATTTTTTTTTTTTTTTATCCTGATAAAATAGTACATTAATTTGGAAATTCTTGCAAAAATCAAATAATTGTTGGATTTTAATGAGACTCTGGACTTATTCACAAATTAATTTTTGAAATTATTTTTAGAAAATCTTGGTCCAAAAATTTTTTGCACATCTGTTACTCCTCGCTTAATTTCATGAAATTTCTAGAAGTTAAATTCTGTACTCCAAATTTTTTTTATCAGTTAAAATCAGTACTCCTTGGAGAATGTAAATCAACAATTTTTTTTTTTTTTTCAAACTACTACTACTACTACTCCTTTCCTGAAAATCTGCTTCAAATCGTAAAATAAAATGATCTAATTATTTACTTTAAATACTAAATTTTTAAAGAATTTTTCTTAAAGTTTCAAAATGTTTTAAAAATTCTTCCAAACTCTGTCCTCATTAAGTGACAATTGAAATGCTTAATACAAATCATGCACTAAAATTTTTAAAATAATTTTTTGTTTTATGTGTGTGAACGTGCCCATTTTGAAAGTACAGGTAACCATACATGACATTATCAGAAAATCAATGATAGTAAATTTAAAGTCAACATTCCTAAAATTAGATTATGGAGAATATTTCCAACATCTTTAAGATTACTGAGTACTTGAAAATTACCCATCATTTTCTTAAATTATATTTTAAGTTAGTAAAACAATAATAAAACTGTCAACACTTCATAAATCACTTGACAAGAAATGCATGAGTCTTGACAAGTACTTAATCACTGTTACTGTTATTTTCAACTTAAATATTAGTTTCAAATCAGGTTAATTATACTTTAAACTAGCTAATATTCCTCAGTTTCAGAAAAGTATATTTTATTTTGGGAAGATTTTTTTTAATAAAGAAAAATTCATTGTGATGACATTAAAGCTAAAATGAAAGCTTCAAGAAAGATTTTTCATTTATGAAAATTCATTTAAACCTTAGGTATACCAAATTAGTGAAGGTACTGAGTATTTAAAAATTAAGTACTCACATTAATTCAATTATTTTTTATTTTTTTACCAATAAAACATTAGATAAATATCAATTTGTCAAACAAGTCAACAGCTTCTGCTGCATTAAATGCATTTCTGCAATATTTTAAACTTAAATATTTGTTTCAAATGAGATTAATTATACTCTAAATAAGCTAATATTCCTCAGTTTCAGGAAAGTGTTTTATTTTTGAAAAAATTTTTTTTTAAGAGAATGACATTGTGACACAGCTGTTTGAGGGTTCCTATAGCACCTCTAAACTTAAATAGTCAATTCAAGTTTGCTATAAAAATTTCCTATACCAAGTAAAAATCATCACAAAAATGGCAAGTCATTTTGTCACAGCTTATTTTCTCTGAAAAAATGGATTTTCATACTTTTATAGGGATAAAATATTGAAAAATTTTGTCATCTGAACAAAATATCAAGGAAACTTTTGATCTGAACCCTATTAAACTAGATATTTTCTGAAAGCAAACAATATGTTCTTTCATTTAAAAGTAAAATTGGCTGGTGTAAATGATTCAAAATTTTTTTTTCAGGGGTAAAATGTGAAAAAAATAGTGAAAATTTTTTTGTGCATTTTTCTAGTTCTAAACAAAAAATTTCCCCAATAATGGGAAATTAATTTTTTTTTTTTTTTTAAATCAGAAATCATAAACTATTTCAGGCATAAAATTGAGAGTTTGAAGGAAAACATTCCTAGGGCATCAAAATGCAACAAAGTCCATTGGTAATTTTCAATTATATAGCTGCCAGCTGTTAAAAAAAAAATGACACCTGGCCATGGAATTTTTTTAGTAAAAAGTGAAAGATTTATCAGCAATTCCTGACTACCAGAAACCAGGACTTTATAGCAGCAATAAGGAAAATTAAACTAAATTGACTTTGACATGTCTGGGTCAAAGGCCAGCCAATCAGCAATAAACCTCGAACAAGCTGTCATCAGCTTATAAATCCCACCACTTACAAGATAAGAGCAAAGAGTGAAAAAAAAATAAAAAAAGGGTCAACATTGGTAAAAAAAGGACTTGATATAAGGTTTTTTTTTTTTTTGAACAATGTTTGATGTTTGTTTTTTTTTTTTTTTTTAACACCTCATGACCTGAGTGATGGCAACAACACTTAGCAGATGACATTGTCTTTTTTCACAGCATGTCTTTCATATTTCCCATTGTTAGGTCATATAGCGATTCCTTTTATTCAATGATGTTCACATCAACTTAGAGAAAGGATTGAAGTTTGGAAAAAAAAATATATTTTCATAAAAAAAGGTGATTCTTCTCAGAAAATTGACCATAATTTTTTAATGCTAACCTCTGAGTGACATTTTTCACAGCCAAATCGAAGATTAATTACCAGTGAATGATTCCATGTGCAAACAATAGCCATCTGGATCCTATACTATGGCTCAGAAATATCTAGAAGTTAACTGATTGATTGAAAACTTGTTGCACATAATTGTTTTCTATGGTTAGTTTCCATTATTTCATCTTTATGTTATTTTAGGACAGCCAAGTCATCAAGGATTCAGGAAAACAGTTTGACACAGGTTTGCTTTGAGAACTTTGCATTCTATGAGCAGTTTAAAATGTTACTGATGAATAGGATTTTTCGACAAATATTTTGTTCAAGCACCATGTTGGATTTTCCTATAGGACAAAAACTAGCATTTTAAACAGCTGTGGAACAATGGAAAATATTAAAAAAATTTGCATCATTACTATTTTAAGGAAAATCCTTCCTTTCAAAGTATTTTGCACTATTAGGCATATTAATCTTTGAGATTAAATCAAAAGTTCAATTAATGAAATTTTTATTTTTTTTTTTTTTTTAAATTCATTTTAAACCTTAGGTATCATGTATTCATAAATGTAAACACTGCAATTTCTTTAATATTAATGTTAGTTTTAGTTTTGAAGTTTATAAAATTTTCATATCAATTTCAAAAATTAAAGACCTTTTTTCTCTAAATAAAAATGGTTCATTGTTGGATAAAACCAAACCAGAATGTCAAATTGAAACAATGATTCTAACTAGTTAAAATTAATTTTATTATGAGGACACTAAAAAAAACATTCTCAAAACCAATATAAATTCCAAAAAATAAAAAACAAATGAAAAACCATTAGAAAGTCTATTTTTGGTTCAATGAAAATTTTCAATTAAAGATCTGAAGTCAATATCAATTAATGGATTTGATTATGTCATAGGTAATATGTAACAAAATGTATTTAATGATATCTAATGCCTACTTTTTATAATTTTTTTTTTTTTTTTTTTAAATGCTTTCCCCATTTGTTGAAATTTTGTATTTAAAAAAATCATAAATGGTTAAATAAAAAAAATTTAAAATATAAAGAAATATAAATAAAAAGTATAAACAACTTAATCAAAGTCTCTGTAAAAGCAAAAAAACTTTGCTATTCTTATACATATATTTTATGTATATGTAAAACAAATTGTTTAGGAAAATTAATTTTTTAGTCTAAAATGAGACTTTTTGCTTATTAGTTCTTCTAATATTGCAATAGGTGATATTTTTTTGATTTATATGAACTGACATTATTAAAATCTTCTCTTTCTTCACTACTTGTATTCTTTATTCTGTAGGTTTGTTTTGCTTGTGTGGATAATGAGGAATTCCGCCTGTCTCAAATGTGTGGTTTGCATATTGTTGTACATGCAGATGAATTAGAAGAACTTATAAATTATTATCAAACAATCATGATAACTTTGAAGAGCTTGTTTTCTAACACAGACAATAGGTTTTAATTATTCATACTAAAATTACCCAATACTTTTCTAATATATTTCATGCATTTTTTTTTTTCTTTTAATCTTTTCTTTAAAAAAAAAAAAAAATGATTTGATTTTAAATCATAATTTGAAGAAAAATGATGCATTTCAGTATTACTCAATGATCTTGCTGATATTATCTCCATCTGGCTTTCTCTCCTATTTTTAATTTAAATCAAAAGTGGTGGTGGGGGTGACTTTCAGTGGGGGAATATTTAAAATTAATAGAACTTGTTTAAAAAATATTTTCATCTTTTCCTTGTAAATTTTAGAAATTAAAACTTTATCTTATGCATTAATTACTGATTAATAACAAGAGGGTACAGATAGAATTTTGGAATTTGATTTTTAAAAATTATTTTTTGGATGCAAAGTTCTTAAGTCTATTTAAATGTTTTGTCCAGTTTGTGCTGAATTGAAAATTTTAATTTATAGGTTTGGAAAGAGCACATATCACAATGTTTACTAAATTAGCTCTCTTGGCTTTCAAGTACAAAATTGAAAAAAAATGAGGGGACAAATATATATTAAAATAATTTTTTGATTCAACAAAAAAGGTGAGTCCTTAATTGAGATTAAGCACTCATTTGTTTACATAGATTAATATATAACTTTGTTGCTTGATAAATTGCAATTATCTTATAGAAATTTTAAATACAACCAATTAATACATTCTTATTAAAATTATTAATTAGTAACTTCTGAAATTTATATTTTTTGAAAAAAAAAAAAAAAAAAAAAACAGTCCAGCTAGATTATTTATCCTGTTTCTTAGCTTTTGTAATGAAGTTTAAATTTTGTGAAAGTGGCAATTTAAAGTGACTTTTTTCTTTAAATGTTATACAGACCAATTAAAAAAACTGAGAAATTGAACAAGTACATTTATGAAAAAAACTTGTCTTCCTCTATGACAAGTATGAAGAATATGATAACGCTATATTGACAATGATGACCCATCCTAATTTCATTAAATAAATTACATTCAAAAAATATTATTTCAAAGAAAAAAAATATTTTTACTTTATTACAAAGCAATTGATTTTCTATTTATTCTAAAGCCATTGTTAAAAATGATACAATCTTAGTCCTTAGTTAGAGACCAGATCATACTCGTGCAGTGAACTATTTTTTAAAAGTGAATCAGATCCCATTGGTTAAACCATATCTCCGATCTGTGCAGAAAAACAACAATAAAGCCATTAATGAAGCTCTCAAAACTGAAGAATGAGACTGAAAAGACTAAAAATTCTATCCAAAAAAATAAAATAAAACATTATTTCATTGGCATTGGGTAAAAAAATTGAAATTGGAGTTTTTAAGGATTCATCTTATCTTTAAAATCAAAAAAATAACTTTGGAAACAGTCTGTTGACTTGTGCAAAAAAGATAAACTTTTTAAAGTAAGTTGTTTCTCACTCTCTCTCACTCAGCACAAAAAAGTTTCAGAATACATTTGATGATAAAATTAAAATGTAGAAATTAACAATTTAAATTTGTTAAACTGGCAATTTTTCTAAATTTTATGAAAATGTTGTACTCTTTACTATTTAATAACTATTCTTTATCTTTGTTTTTATTCTATCTAAATAATCATTTATAAATACTATTTTTTTTTTTTTTTTTTTTTTTTAATTCAAAATCTACTTTAATAATTCAAAAAGTATTATCTTCTTATAACTCGTTTGTAAATGTCCAGCTTTGTCACTTACTCCAACAATTTGCTAACATCCATATACTTGAAAGAAAAAAAAAAACCAAATTATTCCTGGAAAAAAATTATCTATTAAAGTTAAAAATATTCAACCAAATTTTTAATATTTCCTGCTGAAATTTGCCATTGCATCTTTTTAATAAAATAAAAATATTTTTAATTATTTTTGTTAAAACATTAAAAATGTCCTTAATTTGTAAATAAAACTTTTTTATATGTTGTGAATTTAATATTTTAAATTTTGTAGAATCCACTTTTTTCAAAAGTTCAAAAACATTTCATACTTATTCAGGATAAATGTTAATTTTTGTCTAATTTTCTGAAATGGAAATAACATAATGATTAGTTGGTTCCTGTCCAGAAAAAAATTTTTTATTTTTGCATTAAGCCTTTTCCAGGTTAAAACCTAAATTAATTTTATGTGTCATTCTTGAACCATCTAGTCAGAAGATAATATTACATGGCATTTGCTTACTTCAGACCAAGATTCAAGTCATGACCAGAACTGGACACCTATCAAATCTTTTTATTCCATTAAAAGAGGTACCTCCACGAAATCGCTAAAAAAAGAGCATAGCTTGATGAAAAAAAACGCCAAACTTGCCGAAAACAAAATTTTATTGTCTAAATGCTTATGTTATTATTAAGAGGAAAGACCAAAGTTTTTTTTTTTAATTATTTTTTAAAAATTTTTCCTTCTTTTAGAACATTCTAAATTTTGATTAAAAAAAACCTTTTTCTATTTGTATCAGCGGAACTAGTAAATAACATAGACAATTTTTAGCACGTTTTTTTGGTATGACACACATTAATTTGAAAAATCGTGCAAAAAATAGAAATAATTGTCGGATGTTAATGAAACTTTCAGAAACTATTCACAGATGATCAAAATTATTATAAATATGTTTTTTTTTATAAAAGTCATGGTAGAAATATTTTTTTTAAATATTTATTACCACCCCCCATAACTAATTTTATGAAAACGCTAGAAATTCGATCGCATCGGTTTTAGTGATTACAATAATTAAAAGCACAGGGCTTTGAGGAATGCAAATCATGTTTTTTTTTTTTTTTTTTGGATACGCAGTACCTGAAAAATCAGCTCTGAATTGTAACATACAAAAACTCAATAAAACAAAGATATTATTTAATTTCAAATGCTTTTATTTGCTTTTAGTTGTTTTTATGAATATGGACAATATTTTCTGAAAGCAAAAAATTTTTTTCGATGAAAAATGAATTTTTAATACAATTATTTGTTATTTCATTAATTATAATAGATTTTACATTTAAGTTGTTAAAATATTATAAAATTAGTTAAAAAAAGCAACATCGGCTTTCATAAGTGTCCTTATGAGATAGATCTTTTTTTTTTAGTGCATTGTAAATTGTATCATTTTGACTAATCAGAAGATCCCCAGTAATTAAGAAATGTAATTTTGTGCTTATAATCGAGCTGTAATTATAAAATACGGAAGACCAACCAGAATATAATTAAGTTGCATTATTTGAGTTAAGCATTGTTCTCTCCGCTGTTAAGGCCTTTTACTTTTGTGAAACACGTGTGGAGAAGTTAATTTGATTTTTCAATTTCAACTGAGAAGGGTACCTACAAGTATCAGTATCATCTTATGAAATTTATATGATCTTATTTTATATTAATCTCAGTTATGACATTTTTCCATAAATGAAATATCAAAATTAATAATAAAATGAATGCAAATACAAATAACAGTAAATGTAATAAATGTACATAAAATTATAGTATTTTATGTACAATTCTGATAAAATTTCATAAGAAAGGTACCTATAAATTAATTAGATACCTTTCTTAAGAAATATGAAATTTAATGTCACTCTTAACAGTTTTATTTTAATTTCTTTATATATTTTCCATAAAGCATCATAAACGTAAAGGTGAAAGCTAAGTACAAAAAAAAAAAAAAAAATTAGACTGCTGAAAGTTTTTCCTTAAAAATAACAAGGTAAATAATTTGTTCACTTAAATGTAAATTATTTCACTTTTCTCCTTCCGTAGAACAAATTAGCCTCATGGAATTATCTAAATATATCATTCATCACATGTCAAGAGACGTGAAAGTTTATGACCTGCTTTGTTTTATTTTCAAATTACATCTTTTTTGGCACAAAAAGCTAAGTTAAGTTTGGTTCAAAATATTTTAAATAAACATTATAATTTCTGATTTTCTTAAAATAAGTTTTGAAAAAATGATAATTGATATTTAAAAAAATTTCAAAGTCAGATTTCCAGTTTTTTTTTTAAATGGAAAAAAAATGGTCAATTTTGCTGACTCAAAAAAAAAACTAGATTTTTTAACGAAAATTTTGGACGTGCTAGGAACGATTAAAAAATGGAAAAAAATACCCCAAAAAATACTTTGACCTTTCCTCTTAATAATAACAAACATTTAGACGATAAAATTTTGTTTTCAAGTTTGGCGTCTTTTTCATCATGCTATGCTCTTTTTTTAGCAATCTCGTGGCGGTACCTACCTAAAACCTATTTAGTTCACAAACATTTTTCTTATCTGTTTGTTCAACATGTCATTGAAATTTGTTCAACATGTCATTGAAATTTGTTCCTGATTGATGGGGGAGGTGTGGTTTGCTTATGCTTAAGTGGTAATCTGTAAGAGGATAAGTGAATAAGCAGGATGCAGTAAATCTATCTTCAACTTAGTCATTTTTCCAACATTAGAGCAAGTGTTATACAGCAAAATAACTTGGTTCTGAATACATTATTTAAAGCTGTGTAATTTTCTATTTTGAAGGATATGATATATGCAATCACTTGTTCTATCAGATATTGTTTTGAGTGATGCTTTAGCTTCTAACCTATCTTCAGTCATTGAATGAATATCTGGTTGCTTTGTTAGTCTATTTTCCATTTATACTTATAAATAGAAAATAGACTAACAAAGCAACCAGATATTTATTTGATAGATGTTGCAAAAATGAATCCATTTCATTGCTAAATATAATTTTCTTTTATTCAGTGTACCCCTCCCCACATACAGACACTTATTAAAAAGTTTTTCTTGGCAGTAACTCTTAAATAATTAGTTATAATTTTAATCAATATATTAAATTTTGAGGCTTAAGAATTTTGGACCAGATCTTCATTGATTAGCCAACCTTTCTTTCTTTTAAATATTAATCTGGAAACTTTTAAACTAAAATTTTATTTTTATTAACTCTAAATGCAAACTTAATTTCAGCTCACTTGTATTTCAATTTGATCTACAAGTATAAAATAGGAAAACCATTTAAAGTTTTGCTACATAACTTTTTGATTAAGTATATAGATAAAGAACTAAATTGGTAATTTTATGTGTAACAATTACTTTATACAGATTTGCAAATTATCAATTTATATAGATTTGATATTTTGAAAACTTTTAAACTCCTTTTGTTTACCACTAAAGTGGAGATGATAAAATTTGAAATAATATTTTTGCAATTGTAGTTATGAAAAGGGAAGGAAGTGCCATTTATAAAATATTTTTTAAAATCTGAAGAAGTTGGCTTTCTTGAAATGAATGAATGAAACTTTGATATATAAAATTTATACTATTTTCTAGTTTGTGTAACTATGCTTTTTCTACCTTGGGTCAATGTAGTATTTGTCTGTGCAGAACTAACTTTTCTGACTGAGAAAACCTGAAAGAATTAGACATAAGAGTTGGATATGAAAGAAGAATGGTAGGTGGTAAAAATAAAATGTGAAATATTATAACAGGAAGAAATGGAGATAAAGAAAGATACTGAAAAGTGTGATGTCAAGAGATAGTAAGTGAAAAGTGGATAGGAATGAAAAATGGTAAAAAATGTAATATATTAAGGCCATTAACTACAGCAGAAATTTATAATTTACTGTTGGGCCATGACAAATTCCTATCATCTGAAGTTAAAATTACCTTTCATAGAGAAATAAAATAGAGAATGCAGTAGAAAATATTTGTGCATTCCTTATTTCCGATGAAACCGATCTTTGTCTATCCATGTTTAAGTTATACAATGAAGATTGGGAGAGAATGACTAGATACAGGAAAAGGGTGGGACAAGAATTGAAGCATGAGATAATGGATAATCTTGGTCAACATCTGTGGAATGTTTAACTAGTTTAAATTTAAGTTTCCTGAACATATTTTCAAAACATCAAAGATCAAATTTACCTCAGTAATGATGTTTGAGTAAAAAGTGAATATTTAAATTGTTACACAAGGACCATTTTTATTTTTATTTTAATTAGATGTGTGAAAAGGTTTTCAGCAAAAAACTAGTTTTCAACTGTGCATTCAGTTGGGAACTTTTCACACACAAACTTCCTTCAAGGTGGTGGCATGATTAAAATTCACATTTTCTTTATAAACTAAAGAGCTAAAGCGATAACAATGTACTTTAATATTACATTACATTGTATCTTTATTACATGCTATTATAATCTATTAAAATTTTGTTTCTGCTTATAATTTTAGCAAATGTTTCATGAAATTAAAGTGTTTCTATAATTTTTATCAGGTTGACAAATTAGAGCAATCTGAAGCTGTGAGAAGTGAAGAGGAGCAAAAGGCTGAAGAAAGACCATTAGTCATTGGTAACTATTTTTTTTCTTTGAACTTTACTGTATTATAGTAATAAGAACATGTTTTCTGAAACTCAGATTGTTTACATTATTCCATATTTGGACTAATGCTTTTTTTTATTTTTAACAAAGTTGAAAACTACAAATATGTAATTTCTCAATATTTGAAACAAGATTTTTAGGTTGACAATTAGTGTGATCTGAAATTGAGAAAGGGGTCATATAATTTAGACTGAATTTACTTGACTCTTTCAGAACTCAACCTCTTTTTTTTTTCATCACACTTAATCCTGTTGTGAAAACCTTGAATATACCAATAAATTACATGTTCCTAATTTCTTGTATTAAAGAAATTTGAATATTAATGTTTGATAGATTAGTAATCAAGATTTGTTATATTTGTAATAGCTTCAAAGATTTTTAATTTCAATTTTGGTTTATTTTTAAACAAATATTAAAGTGTACTATTTAAAAAATAGATGAGTATTTTCAAATGAAAATATTTCCTCATTTTCCTTCTCTAGGTGACACACAGTTAATGCTGACAGCTGGACCAATGGCTATGGGCATGACAGCCCCTGCTGCTCAGACTTATGTCAATCCCAGTATGGCGGGAATGGCTACTCACATGGGTACTCCAGGAGGCTATGGTTATGGCATGTAGACTGGGAACTGCTCACCTACCCAGCCAAAAATTAGAACATGGCACCATGAACATTGATGGATAGGCAGGAGATGAGCTGGCAACTTCCACTGCCACTGTGAGCCTTATGTTATAGCAAGAATTGCATAGTGGATTGCCATTATTTTTTTTATTTTTTTTTTTTTATTTTTGTGGGACTAACATGTTTAGCATTGCTGGGAACAAAGCAATTTGATGGGATTGTGGATTTGACCAGCTAATGAATGAACACACATACAATTAGATTTGTATCAACATGTGTATACACATTTGCAGAAGGGCCAGAAGAATGAATTTTAAATGTTATTGACATTTATTGGTAATAAGATTGACCTTTATAAAGAGTATGCATGTATTTGAGGAATGTAAATCATTGTTTAGAATGGCAGAGGAGTATAAACAGTAAAATAGGTACTTTTCTGCACTATAATTTTTTTTGTGTTATGTATGGTGAAAAAAATAGTTATAGAATTTTGAGTGACTATATTGTCTTGTAAGAATCTAAAGAACTAAAGACATCCATATTACAAGTAGATGGTGGAAAATTTACAAGAAGCACATTCTTCTTGGCCTTAACTGTTTTGGTGGAGGTGACTTTATTTCCCTCTCCTTTTTGTTCTTGCCCCCATCTCTTCTCCATTCTGAGAAGGAATTTGAAAAATTTATGTTTCTAAAGATCATTTGTTCTTGTTCATTGATTTGTTTGCTATAATTCTATATACAGCTCATGTCACTAAGATTTTAATGTATCGATTGAATCATCTTGCTAACAGCTTGTACAGAATCAGCTAATTAAATCTATTGGAGTACACATGAACAGGAATGACTTTTTTTTGTTAAACTTGAAAAAGGTTTAGTAGATTAGTTTTTATTTTAGATATTACTTCACCAACTGAGAATAATGCTTTCAAATATACTTTTTTTTATTGATAGTTTAATAGGCTCATATTGTAACTAATTTACAAGGAAAGTTGTATCTGAGTCCTTAAAAGAAAAACATGATTAATCTAAAGGACAATTTTTCTTTAGATATTTAGACTGCATGTTAAAACATGCAGTCTAAATATCAATTCAGATACAATCTCTTAAAAATAAAATTTAACAACATGACTGCCTGTAAATATCAAGCTTAGCTTAAATTTTATGAAAGCTTCTAGTCACTTAATGCTTTAGAGTAAATAGATTGTTAGACATGTATTTAACCAATAAAATTATTAATCAATTTATAGATGACTTCTATTATGTTTTATTTTTCTTAAGACTAAGACTAAAGGGGAAAGTAATGTGCTATTCATTCGTACAATAATTCTTTCTTGCTTTTCCTATAATCATGTTTTTGAAAATTTTCTAAACTGTTTAACCATTTCCCGTTCATGTTTGGTCCACTGTGAAAGTTCATTGTTAGTTCCAGACAAATTAAAAAAGAAAAAGGAAAAAATGAAAACTAATTAGTTTTGTTCATCCACAGCGTGTTTGGCCACCTGCAGCCTATATTGACACCTGTTACCACACTTTTTTTTTCTCTCTCTCTCCATTGATCTAGCACTGAGCCACATGCTGCCACAAAAATCACTGTTTCTCAGAAACACACACACATGCATTCTATTATTGGCAGTGTGCTAAAGCATGAGACAATGATTGTATGTATGATTACAAATAAATGTATATCAGATTGTTAGCACCTGGTAACATTAAAATAAATAAAATGTGTAATAACTGTTATTTCCATTGTGATTGATTTTACTTTATAGTGGGAGGTGTGATATATTGATCACATTTTGGCCAGTTTTATACTGGCACTCTGATTTTTTTATTTTTTCTTCATTCAGGTTTCCATTTAGTAAATGCTTAGAAGAAAACTAATATTGGATAGAAGACAGGAGTGATGTTCATTTGCTTTGCAAAGATAACTATCACTTGTTAGCACTTTATTTTTATGGTTACATGACAAAATCATAGATTTCTTCCCCAATTAAGATAATTAAACAAGTTTTTGTTCCACAAAATGTAATTCTATACACATTTACAAATAAATAAGCAAACATTAAACTATAGCCTTGGTCTTGTCTTTCTTCAATTTTCAGTCTCCTATTTTTTCACTGTTATAAACCATACTTAGATATTGTAAATTACCTTAAACTTTAACAGAAGTTATAATTATATAAATTTAATATCACTTATAAAAAGTATTAAAAAAAAAATCAGTTAGATGTAATTATATTGGAAAAAAGAAAAAATGCTTATTTCAAAACTTAGGCATATTATACATTCTAAGAGAAAAATTTGATATATAATTTCTCTACCCTAGCCATCTTAATACTAGATCTGTTGATAACTACATGGCATTCTTTGTCTTTTAGAATTTTCTGTCCTTTCTGTAAATATAATAGTTTTGCTTTGTTTAAGCACATTCCCTAAGTTTGGGAATTAGGAATAACCCAGATGTCTTTTTTGTTTAAAAGAATTTGGGTCAGTTTTCGTTGGAATATATACATGTTTTTGACAGTATGTAAACAAAACCCAGAACTTAATTTCTCTGGACCAAAAGATTCAGACAACACAAAGAAATGGATAGGGCAGGGAACCTTGGCTTTGCTCAAATTTACTGAACCATAGCTTAGTTAATTCTGTGTTCAGTTTTCTTTGGAACTATTAATCCCTCCCTTTTTTTTCTTCCCTAGCCTAATTCTTCTGAAAATTTCAATGATTATTACCCAATTAGTAATCCCTCCAAGTCACCATTTAGCAATTAAATGGTTGAATAATCAGTGCTCATTTGTCTTTATATTAACTTTTCAAAATAGTAAATGTTTATGGCAAATACTGATTGATGCACCATTTTTTTCTCTCTCATATATATATATATATATATATATATATAGTTCACTAGCACATTTATTTCTTTCCTGCCCCCTCCCCAATCATATTTCTCAGCACATACATATCTTGTGGGGGGGGGGGGCTCTTTTAGGTACAAAAAATGCTCTTTAGTATTGCAAGCAGGATGACCACCTAAATATCTTCTATACTGCAGTTGTGAAATCTGGGATACCATGTACGGAAAGAATCCTGTTAAGCAAACAGGAAAAATATTTTCAAGTTGAGTTTCTTTACTAAAAATAAAGGATCATACATAACCAGTATTAGATTCACAAATATATTGCAAATTGTGAGTGTAAAGAATACATTTAATCTATCCATGCCTGGTAAGAGAAAAAAATATCAGTTTTACATCCCTTAAAGAATTGCAAATGTCACTTTAACTTTCTTTAGCCATTTCAAATTTACTAACAAATGAAATTTTTGTTATTGACTATTAGAATATATAAATCTGGAAAAAAACTTTTTTCATGATAAAGTTCTGGTAATTTGTTTTTAACAATATCTATTGAAAAAGTTATAAGTATGAAATTTTTTTTTTTTCTAGTTTGTCTTATTTTAAAGTTTCAAAAAGTGGAAGGTTTGTAACAACTGTTTTATTTTAAAAAAAAAAAAAAAAATCACTGCCCAGAACTTTTCACTTAATAGCACAAACAAAATTCAAGTAAATTAATGACATGTCTGTTTATTGACTCAAAAGTTGTTAAATTTATTAATTTGCTTAAAATTGGTTATTGGGTACTTTATTACTGTTGAAGTTCATGTTCAAATCTAGCAATATATAGTTATTTACAGGCTAGAATATATAAAATCCCAATTTTTCCTCTTCATCTGTACAATGAATCTTTCAGCATCAAACTGAACTCTGTCTATAGTTTTTTGTGTCTATCACTTTCTTTCCACACATAGCACAGATACCTGCAAAGAATAGATGAAAAACTAAGTGACTAGGAATTAATCACTTTAATAAATTAAAGAAAAAATAGTTCAGTTTAACTTTTACTAATCTTTCTAAATTGTGTGATGAAATCTGTTAATGTTTTGATGTCAGAAATTGTTAGTAAATGTCAATGGTTTGGGGGTTTCCCATTTTCTAGTGAGAATAACTTGCCAGTTCAGCAAAGGAAAAGAATCAAGTTGTCTTGCCTGCCCTTATCAAACTCTGTTCTTCAGAATGTCAAAGACACGGTTTAAGCATGTGGGACATGTGGTTTGATTCAGGCACTTGGATGTGCAAAAAACTATGGGCTCTGTGGTCAATAGACAGTAGGAGAAAGTGTCTTGCATGGCAGATTGCTGCTGTTGGAATTTGTGAGTCACAGATTTGAAATAGATTACTTACATCAATCCTCACAAGAGAGAAGGTACTGGTGTTATTTTTACCAATCAATTTACAAGCTATTTTGGCATTTGGCAGACAGTAAATTTGATGGTTCTACCCCAGCTGAATTATAGCTTGAGAAAGTGAAACTGATTTGCTGTTTGAATGGGGTAAAGAGAGTGGAGCATGTTATTCTATTACAACTGACCAGAGGCACATTTGATTTGTACCAACAGGGAGGAGACTTAAAAAGAGGACCTGGCAAGAATAAAGGCTGTACTTTGCAAGGTGTTTGACCTGTTCCATTGAATCCTATGAACAGTTCACAACACAGATACTATGCCCAGGAAAGAGCGATGGCATATGCATACTTGGCTGGGTTCCCACTGTATGTTAAGGAGTTGTTGCAAGCAAACTCCAGTGTAGACATGTTTCCATTGGACTGTGCCCAAACCATTATGAGAGAGCTCTGTTTCAGAAAAGATGGTACATCATGGCTGCATAGTCTGCTACTCAGACCAACACTGGGATAACCTGGTATAGGTGCCAAGGCCACTTGACCAGAGAATGCAAGAGGCAAAGAGAACACATGCACTGCTACCAGTGGACACATAGTGTTGTATCCTTAAAGAGGTTACAAACAGACAAATGTGGTACTAGAGTAAATGAACAGCAACACACACACACAGATGAAAGAGAGGTCTATTGTAAAAGAGAATACACTACTGAAAGACGGAATCTGGTGGCAGGCAAGTAATTCTTGAAGCAAGCCCCAGGTATA